CTCAAATAGCGCACAACTTCAGGTTTTTTATTTCTATATGATTATTCTGCATCATTAAGCAATGAGAACAAGTAGTCTGATGTCCTATAATCATTGTGGAGCTATATTATTATATTATTATTACAATTACAAAATGCAATTCTATATTGTATTATGAAAGACAATGAAACATTAAGTTTTTGTACAGAGTATCGGTATCGTATAAGGCTGAAGCGCGCTCACACACAGGAACGAGTACGTAAGGGCGTGGTGCTTGGCCATCTGACCGGCTTGGCGGGTTTTGATTGGCTGTGCCGGTTTCACAACGCCGAGTGTCGGCGGGGTAGGTCACGTGACAGCATCTGCTGCTGGCTGAGCGAAGCGTGTTAGCAGGTAAACGAAAGCTTCAGATTTGTTATGTTTGAATATTTTTTTTATTATTAAGTCGTTTTGAGAGTTCAGGTATGTTATTGTGTATTTTTTGTTTATTTTAACGAACTCGATGGGCCTGTTCAAAAACATTATTCTTCTTATTCGGCTATTAGTCGTCTAACTAACTGCGTTGTATCCGTGCTGAGCGGTGCTGCTTTGTATGCGGACGGGCCGTTCGCACGCCGGGCAGTCGGCATGCCGCCTGTCTCTGACTCCTGATTACTGCCCAAACAAATCTTAATAACTTTTCTCCCTGAATTATGTGCCTATAAATATATTAAGGGACACGGACAATTAGAAATGTCAACGAACCACGCAGCTCGTTTTAGTTTCAGTTGTTAGCTTGTTGCTAACGTTAGCCACATCTCCCATGAAGTGACTAATGTTAGCTCGTTGGGCTACACAAAGGGGAGCATGGCAGCGCTTGTCACGTTTGTTTATTTTTTGGTTGCTACCCCAGACGGACTGTACATAGAATAGACATATTGGCAGACAGGTTAGTATACTGATACTCTACACACGGCTTGTGGTAGTTTAACGAAGAAATTTGCGTGTTACTCGCACACAGAACAAAGACTAGCAGTTAGCCGGGCTGCTGCTATCGTGAGCTAGTTTGACCTAACATAAACGTTAGCCTCTGTGGTTCATGCTTCTGTCGAGTTTATCACACAAATAAGAGTGACTCTGATATTTAATACGTATAATTAAGGCAAAAATAAACACTGCTATCTGTATATGTACGACGCACGCAAATGCTTTGCCAGATAACCCTTTCCCGTGGATTTTATTTAAGAACCCACGCTGCCTGACAAATTGTTACTTGGTTGTATTATTAGCTACAGCCAGTTGCTTTGTTCGATACTACTCAGGCAGTGTTTGTGCTTTTGTTTTTCGCCTTTTTAAAAAGCCTGTATTTCTGTTGTTGTTGCCTATCTTTTATTCACATTTTTTGATATATATAAAAGATGTTAATACCAGTATTAAAATATAGCGGTGCACTGAGTGTTTTTGTGTGGGAGAATAAGGCAGGGCTGTAAGCTGACACCCAACAGGCCCCTCTGGGCTGGCTAAATTTAAACGGGGATGTAGGGAGCGACAGATGGGGGTTATAGTCTTACATGGTATACTAGTGAGTCGGTCTGTTTATATTAAGTGTACAGTATCAGCACTGTAAGTAAGGAAAGTTTACTTACATTGCGATTTTCAAGAGCAAAAAGTGACAACGTGCTTTATATTACAAAATAAAATACAACAGTTAAAGCAAAAGCAAGTAAAGCAAACGTAACACCCAGGTATTTGAAAGCTGGGAGAACTGAAGATGTCCAAGAGTTTCACTTACCTTAGGACCAAAGGGGCACGAATAAGAACTTCAGTTTTTTGTGTATTAATAGACGGATAATCGGCTGCCATCCTGTTCTTCATAATATGGATGTAGTCCAAGTTTAACTAGGATCTGTCCAAGTGGCAGCATATACAAGGGAAACAAGTTGGGCCCTAGGATGGCAGAAAACGACCAAAAATTAGCAAAAGCATCTGAAAAGGTCCAGAGCAAGAAAGAGATGCCCACCCAAGTTCTAAGTCTCTCATTCAGGATACCATAATCAGCTGTGTTGCGGGCAATAGAGACATCCAATAGTGCAAGAACCAAATATTCATGTGCATCATTGACTTTGAGTTTCAAATTATATATACTGCACATTTATTTATTATTGTTTTCTTACTAAGGGGTAATGATTCCGTACCATCTGGCTTTCGTTTCACCTTTGCTTCTGTGTCCTTTGTCTTTCAGATTTTTCTATTTTGTACATACATTGTTTTGTATATACTGTATATGATGACTTCACTGGTCAGCAATCAAGCCCGGGGTACTCGGGACAAAACGCTGCCCACCACCACACAAACAACACAGCAACAGAAGCAGATACAGGTGGGTGGTTGTCATTGTAAATACAGAGTTATTAAGCAAAATAGTCTTTTAACTTCAATAAAATATTGCATCTCTTAGTCTTAAATGTAATTTTTCACTTTTAAATGATTTTATCCCACTTTTCATTAAAATATATAAAGGATCCAAATGCTTTTAAAAACATTTAAATGTACTATTCAGATGGTGATAGTTCTTGATTCTCATTAAGCTCTGTTTGTTTGCCAGGCCACAGCAGAACAGATTCGTTTAGCCCAAGTGATTTATGACAAAAACGATGCTGATTTTGAAGACAAAGTCAAACAGGTAATGTTTGTTCACATTTTGTGCGTAAAGAAATTTTCTGGGTCACCAGGATATATTTTCCTGGATTTAAAACTTAACTGTGTTTGTTTTCTTCTTCTTCTTCTTTTTTTTTCCTATGCTGTGACTTTCACAGCTGATTGAGGTCACTGGAAAGACTCAAGATGAGTGTATGGTAGCCCTTCATGACTGCAATGAAGATGTAAACAGAGCCATCAATTTCCTGCTGGAGAGCACCTCTGACACAGTAAGTATGCTCCATTCCCAAAACATGTGTTGTGCTTGCTTTTTACATATGATTTCGTTATTGCTGTTTTGGGAGAGACTAAATCATGATGCAAAAGTAGAAGTACAAATGCATTTTGTA